ATGTATTAGTTTTGACTGTTTTCAGTCTAGATATAAAGAGAAATGATCTTTTGAGCCCTTTCTTCTTCTCTTAACCCCTTCCCCATAAACAGGCACACACATCCCTTCACACAGGTGTTTCAGCTACTTTTGAAGTCCTTCCTTAATGAAAGATACCTCTATTATGAGAATGGATGTACTGACGTGTGAATAACTTGTCCTGTTGAATTTTAACCCTCTTTTGGAAGCTCAATCCTTTCCTACATTTAAGTTAATACCTATAACTGAAAAAAAATATTTTGTAGCAATGGTCTTCCTTTCTTATTGAGAGAACCTAAAATTTTCTGATATTTTACAGCCTTGATGTTCTCCATATAAGAAAAATGCAAGAGAAAAACCTTGAAATGAAATCACAGAACATGAACTAGGGTCTTATATTAGATTACAAGCCATCTGTTTTCTCAAAATAAAAGCATTAAAATGTTATGTCATTAGTATCATAGTTTGTCAATGCCATCTGATTATTACTTTTTCTCCTCTTATTTTATTCTCCTTCTCCTTCCCCTGTTTATTACTTTTTTTAATTCCCATCTCCAGTGTGACTTTCTTCTGAACTCAAAAACTCATCTAACTATGAAAACATGATCAGTTAACCGTGTACTGACGTTTTCATTCTAATAAAGATTTATCTTCATCTTGAAAGTACTTAAGAATGTTTGAATAACTAGATTTAACTCTGTGGCAAAATGCAAAATATTAACTTATTAGGCCACGGTTAAAGAAAGATTGGGAATTAATTTTTCACCTTTGTTTCAGTATTGTGGATATAGTAAGATTATTTCACGTCAGCAGTTATTCACATCTTGTTATTACTTCATAGTGCAGGATTAAGGAAATCTGTACACATAAAATTATAGTTTAGTTAGTGTTAAAGGAAAAAACTGAAACAATAAGTTGTACTCTTTGTTGCCACACAGCATATGTAGTATTTTATGTTTGAGAGAACGTGGCCATGGTGTCATCCAAAATCAATAGTGTATCAACGCTCCCTTGATTTAGTGAAGGTTCTGCTGCCTGGTACTACAGTCAGATTGCTCCGCTATTGCTTCCTATCTTACTTTACAGCCTCTTTCATTCTATGCCTATTTAATTTCACTCATTGTTTTATTCCTGTGTCCTTCAGCTGTTTCCAATCTGCCCTTCATGGCCATGACTAATACAATATGTTAACATACAAAGGTATGTTAACATACAAGGTATGTAAATGAAAATCAATGCACTTGTCATTTCAGCACAATTCCTCATTGCTTACATTGAACATTTTAAATACATTTTATTTAAACACTAATAACTTTCATTCTTGCCTTGGAAGTCTAATGATCTTCTTGGCTCCCTGCCCCTACAGCCCTCTAATCTTCACAGCCGTGGCCACTTAGCCCCCATCTGGAGGTTCAGGCTTATTCTGCATTTTGGAGCTAATCTTGTCCCTATGCTGGGGGTATACAAGATATCGTGGCCAAAAGCTAACTGATTTAGCATTCAGACAGCTTTGCTGCTGGTTTCATTCTGACCTTGTAATTTATTTCTCAGATGTAGGCTATGCTTCTCCCAGCCACTTGTAACCAAGGCTTGACTTTGTATACCAGTTCCAGTGTCTATCCAGGCTCTCCTATTTCAGTTCTTGATGAGTTTTTCTGATTGACACCAATTTCTCCATGACTGAGGTTCTGCTTTGTCCTTCTCCCTGTCCCATTTGTAACTGAACTTATTTTCTGAATTACAGTTGCTATGGCTGGGCCCTGTAGACAACTGCTAAGCCTTTCTGATGTCACTACCCTTGCCCGTATCTCTTCATACTGCCTTCATACCATGGATCTGAACTTCTGCAAGAATACTAGGATTAACCCTTTGCTTGCTTGGATGTTTTCCCACTTCCAGTTGCAAATATCTACCTAGACCAGCTCTAACCTTGCAGGCCTTGGAGAGTCACTGCAAACATGCTGCCTGTAATCTGGCCATCTCATTGTCTAGACATGATAGCAAAGACATATCGTTTCCTTTGCATCTTTGGTTGAATTGTTATGCTAACACCCTTTAGTTACTTTCACCTCCTGTCTTCATCTTGGTCCTGCCACTTTAACACTTTAAAACTCAGTTTTCTCTTTTTAAAGTAAAATAATAATGGAATCTACCTCCTATGGCTATTTTGAAGATAGCTGAGAAAAAAAAAAAGTATACAAATGGTACAAATGGATAAAACCCACTGTAAGCAACCAATAATTTTTAGCTGCTCTTATAAGTTCATGTCTTAAATATCTGTACTTGGAAAGTGGAGCTATACCACTTAAAGAATGATCATTAAAAAGATAAGGAACTAGGAAAATTAAAATTCTTAAAAGAAGATAGAGACTCATGTACATTTTTTTTAAGTGAAATAATTTACAAGAAGACAGCTTGAAAAAATGATGCTGAAACACAGATGCAGTCACCAACAAACGTTAGAAACAAAATATTTTAAGGATACATTTCCTATTTGTGTGTCTTGATCTTATGACTACAGAAGAGCCCTAAAGCATTTAGGAAGGAGAAAGAGTCTTTGAATTAGTAATTTATTTTAGAGCAGTATTTCCATAATCACCCGGGGGACTTGTAGAAAACTAAAATTTTAAGCCCCACTTCTCTGAAATTCTGATTCATTAATTTTGGGGCAGAACTAAATAACTGGTATGTTTAAAAAAATTCTCATAGTACCTCTGGCAATCTCTCAGTTTTGGGAACCACAAATTCATCAGACATTAAGGTACCTGGGATGTTTTTTAAAAAACATAACATTTGTTGGCCAGGCGTGGTGACTCACACCTGTAATCCCAGCACTTTGGGAGGCCGAGGTGGGCAAATCACCTGAGGTCAGGAGTCTGAGACCAGTCTGACCAACATGATGAAATCCTGTCTCTACTAAAAATACAAAAATTAGCCAGGCATGGTGGTGCGCGCCTGTAATCCTAGCTACTCGGGAAGCTGAGACAGGAGATCCGGGAGGTGGAACTTGCAGTGAGTTGAGATCGCGCCACTGCACTCTAGCCTGGGCGACAGAGTGAGATTCCGTCTCAAAAAAAAAAAAAAAAAAAAAAAAAAAGAAAGAAAATGAGACGCTGTCTCAATAAAAAACATACATTTGTTTACCTCAAGATGGTCAAACCAGTGCATAGACTCTCTCACTTGGCTCCTAGCTGCCCACTGGCTAGAAGTGTTTGACAGGTATGAAAACTCTACTGCTGTCTGATTTTAGTAATAGATGTTTATTTCACTTGGCTATTCAAAGGCAGTGTTTACTTGTAAGTACATAGTTTACCCTAAGAACCACCGTTTACTCAGATAGAATCTTCACTTGAAAAATATTTTAAGTGCAGACTGTTTTACTACTGCTAAATAATCTTGTCTTAATTTTTTTCCTTCATTTTCCTTAGACGAATTTTCCCCTTACTCATAAAAGTTTGATCAAAATGATGGTTAACTGCTCTAGGCAAGCACAGTCTGCATACTGAAGAAAATAAAGAGCAGCCAGATGTTTTCCTGAAAAGGGTGAGGTATATGTAAAAAAGAAAAAGAGATAAATAATAGTAATAATAATAATAGGAAGAAGATGAAGACAAAGGAGAAGGAAAAGAGGAAGAGGAGGAAGACAGGGAGGGAAAAGAGGAGGAGGAGAAGACGAGAAAGTGGAAGAAGAAGAAGAGGAAGAGGAGGAGGGGAGGAGCAGAAGAGAGAAGAGGAAAGGAATAAAAAAGAGGCTGCTTCTTTTCACTATCATGACACAAAGAACCCCTCAGAAGTTTGAGTTATTCACTTTTCAACATGCTTAAGGTGGGACCAATATACTAGAAGGCTAAAATGTTGGCACCCTTTCAAAATAATAAGTATGATTCCTTATTTGATGAACATATCTTTATAAGAGTAGTTACTCCATCATCTTAGAAGTCAGATTAGCAACTGGTATGATCTGAATGTTGCTGTCCCCCTCCCCAGATTCATATGGTGAAATCCTAACCACCAAAATGATAGTATTGGGAGGTAGGACCTTTGGGAGGCGATTAGGTTATGGGGGTGGAGCTTCATGAATGGGATTAGTGCCCTTATAAAACAGGCTCCCGAGACCTCCCTTGCCCTTTTTGCCATGTGAAGCTTCAGTAAGAAGAAGGTTATTTTAAGAGAAAGTGAGCTCTTATCAGACATTAAATCTGCCTTGATCTTGGACTTCTCAGCCTTCAGAATGGTGAGAAATAAATTTCTTTTGTTTATAAGCTACCCAGTTTATGGTATTTTGTTATAGAAACCCAAACAGACTAACTCTGATCATCTATTGCTTCCTGATGATGCCTTTTAAATATCTTGAGATAAAGTCTCTCTCTGTGACCCAGGCTGGAATGCAATGGCATGATCACAGCTCACTGTAGCCTCAACCTCCTGTGCTCAAGTGATCCTCCCACCTCAGCCTCCTGAGTAGCTGGGACTACAGGCTAGTGCGACCATACCCAGCTAATTAATTTTTTTTTTTTTTTTTTTTTTTGGTAGAGATATGGGTCTCGCTTTGTGCCCAGGCTGACCTCAAACTCCTGGCCTCAAGTGATCCTCCTGCCTTGGCCTCCCAAAGTGCTGGGAGTACAGGCCTGAACCATCACACCCAGCCCTGATGATACCTTTTCAAAGACATTCTAGTAAATAAGACTTTTTTTTCTCCTCTATATCCTAACATTGACAGTTCTGGGAGGATTCAATGATATTTTAGTGTACCTTATCAAGTAATGCCATGGATAGCTGCTTGGCTGGCCCACCTCTTAATCCAGTTCCAGAAATTCCTTGCTGTTATTACAGCCCTCATTTTTTTTTTTTTTTTCACTTGGGAACTGAATAAGAAAATAAAAAATGCAGACAATGTCTTCTGTTGCAGAATGGTTGATGGCGTTAAAAAGAAATTAATCACTGTCATTATTTTGTCTAAAAGAATAAAAACAGCATATTACCAGACGTCCTCGGCATCTTCATCACATTCTGCACCAAACTGGCAAATATCACAGGTGGATGTCTCCTTTTGACTAGTTTCTCCAGAGCCTTCATGGACTGTAGGGCAGAAAAAAGTAAAACGAATTCAGATAATTGTGCATTATATCTACAACCCCAGGACAATTCTGTATTAAAGCTGTTACTTTCCCATGGACCTGTCTGCTATTGAAGCTTCGTAAGAATGTCATAAGTAACTCTTTTCTTCCTCCAATTTAAAGACAACTCTAACAATAATATGCTTCCCATTGGTATGTGGTGAACACGTTTGCATTTTGCATGCTAAATAAAACAACAAACATGTGAGTTTATTGTATTCATCAAAATTATTTGCCTAATAAATAGACCATATGAAAGAGTTATTTAGTTAACAGGGAGTTAAATTTTCACCTCTCTGGGGGAAAGATCTACTGTCTATTTTACTGAAACGTATTTAGAATTTTCTTATTTCCAGATTATGGACCTTTTGGTCCAAAGAAAGTTTTCATGTATAATTTTTAAAAATTTCGATGAGCATCCCTGATTTATTAGATATGTCCACATTTTTTCCCTCAAACAGTTAAGTACTTACAAGAAAAAATATGCTGATTATAAGTTTTTATAAAATAGCTTTTAGTTGTTTTTTACTGTCATTTATTGAATCTCACATAAGTATTGCATAGAGCTAATCACAGTGATTCTTTGTTAGAGGGTTATGAACATATATTTTATTTAAAAAAATACATTGAGTCACTGTTTAGTCACTGATGATGATGATGATTGATATTGGTTCTTTTTTCCTCTAAATGACAAGTACAAAAACGGGCAATACATCACCCAATTATAAAGTTAGCTTTTCAAAATCAGGATACAACAGTGTAAATTGAGAAAAAATTTCTAGTATTTGAGTGCAAGGAATGAGCAACACTTTCAAGGTGAATTACCTCTTTTCCCGGTTAAAAATATATCGTTGAAATAAAAAGTAGTTTTATTTTAAAATGAAAAATTGCAATCAACTAACTATTGCATACACAGATCATATACACTTAAAAACAGATGTTTAAATCAAGGGAATCTTTAAGAAGTGCACTTCTGCAAAAGATAACATATTTTAAACAGAAAAAGAACATAAGCAATTAATCCCAGCATTAGTTCCTGTCTTTATGAACATTTTAAATAACAAAGACAATTTATTAACATGCACCTTGAACCTGTCAAATCCAATCTTACTTACTTTGTTTTAATACGTTATTTTTCTCTTCATTTCTTCTTTGATTATTAACAAGAGTTTTTAATACTTATAAAATCAAAGATCTTTAGTTTTCTTTAATCTACTGCTGTTCAGATGAGTAATTTGATTTACTCAAAAAAGGACAAGAAGACATCCCTAGGAGAGTTATCTGTTTTGTAACTCTTCCAAGAAAGGTGGAGGGATTTATGTTTTCTGAAACATTTTTTTCCTGTGCTTGATAGTCAACACTTACATTTTAAAAACAGTATGAAGTAAATAGGTCAATTTCAATTGCAAAAGTATTGATGGTATAGTTTTCAATTTGGATGTCTTAAGAAAAAAAACGTGTCCTCCCCAACAGGAAGAAGGAATTTTAGACTCTGATAAAATAAATAGCACTTATCTTATTATCCACTCTACTACTTTAATATAGGCAAGACCATTAGAGTGGACCATGGGGATAAGAGGGAAGCTGGGGCCTCATCTCAGGGGAGACTGAACAGCTGAGGTCGGTCTCTGTATTACTTTCTTATTATTAATGCAACACAGAAGCTGCTAATGGGAGAAAGCCTTTTAGTGTTAGCAAGATTAGCAACTTTCAGACTAAAACTTCCCATTACTCAAGAAAGATACAAACACAATGGCAAGGACCTTAATGAACAGTGATGGCCACTTAGAGACAGCCCCATTTTCGTCAGCAGTTGAGATCTTTGGTAACGGATCGACTGGAGGTCATCCAGGGATAAATTTTGCTATCTCAGCAGGACTGATAATAATATTTCTACCAGAAGTCACATTACATTTCTATAAAAGGGCAATTATTGGTAAAATGGAGATGTTTGGAAATTCTCCGATAAGGAGAAGTACATTCAAAAGAAGCAGTGGGAATACCCCCATCAATAAGTATTGTGTGAATAAAGTGCCTTTCTATGAAGTCACCCACAAAGAAATATAAAATAAAATCTTTCCATATTACTGGAAACATAGGTTTGCGCCTTTGTATAATAGTAAACAAACAAACGACTTAATCAGTGCTCAACTTTCATTTCACTTTTTATACCAGTGGTTCTTAAACAGGATCTGATTCAGAGGCTTTCGTGGATCTTGTTTGTTAATATGTTTTTTTTTTCTTTTTTTAAAATAAAAATGCCCTGAGATATCCTTGGAGATACTGAATTGGACTTAGCTGGGCGCTTGAATATGCCTGTTCTGAATACAGACTATCTCCGAGGAAGAATCTCTGCCTTAAACAATACCAAGAAGGCTTCATCTGTCCAGAGCACCCTCCTCAGGCATCATCTAGCACAGGGCTTCTGATGCTTTAAAGCGCACAGGAAGCACCTGGAGGTTTAGTTAAAATGCAGATTCTGATTCATTAGGTGCAAGGTATGGTCTCAGGTTCTGTATTTCTTAAAGTCCCCAGATGCTGCTGCTGTTGGTCCACAGACCACATTTTGAGTAGAAAGAATAGCACTGTGTTTTTCAAACCACAGTTCACAACGTTTTAGCAGGTAGTGAAATTAATGCATCATGACTTGCATTTCTGTAAACATGAAACACACTATACTAGTCTAGTAAATACTAGACTGCATCTTATTTAGCAAGTACATGTTTTATTTTATAACACTGCTTTAGTTATACATATGTACTTACATACAGGGTTGCAATATAAATTGCAATTCTTACTAAAGGTCACAGTAACAAAACCTTGAAAACCACTGATTTAGTACACGTTACACTCTCAGTAAATGTGTGTTAAATTGGACTGCTACTTCCTTCTCTTCTTTCTATATTAGCAGTAACAGGAAAGATCAGTGCTTATTTGCATCCATACACTGATTAGGAATAAAATTCATTTATCTTAAAGTATTATCTTAATCACACATTTATATTTTAAGCTCTTTTATTTTGAGTTGCAAAGTAAGATAATTATTTCCCATTATTTTATAGAAACTTAGATTTTGGCAAATGATTGAGGGAAATTTGAGGGGTGAGGGAGGTGGAGCTACTGAAAGCACATTATCCCTAATATTCTGCCCTTCCATTAAAACGTATTTAATCATTTTAGGGAGGTTTGTAAGCGGAGGGATTACAAGAAATGATTGAGTTACTTCTCTCTCAAATCTCTCTGCCCTGGTAATTTCTTCTGAAGGTTGAATTCCATCACCACCCTGTTCTTCTTGCTGGTCCTACATGATGATGAACCCAGTTCTCACTATCATGCTTCTTGTGACTTATTATATTCTTAACCTGTCATACCATTTCTGAAAACAGTGAACTCTAATGTTCAAACATGGGTAAGCATTGTAATTCACCTTGTTAAAAATGCAATTAAAATTGAAATTCAGCGAAATGAAGTCATCTTTCCATATCTGCTCGTTCCTCATTCACAAATCCAGCCAATCTTGAATCAAAATATTCAGAAAAAAATACAAAATAACAATGCAGAAATACAAATAATAAAAAATAAAAATATAGTATAACAAATTTTTACACAGCATTTATGTTGTATTAAGTATTCCAAGTAATCTAGAGATGATTTACATTATATGTGAGGATGTGCATAGGATACACCACTTTAATATCATCAGGGACTTGAGCATCCACAAATTTTGGTATACTGTGGGGAGGGTGGGTCCTGGACCCAATCCCCTGAGAAGACTGAAGGATGACCATACACAGATCTTAAGGGTACCTGATATGGTTTGGATATTTATCCTCTATGAATCTCATGTTGAGATGTAATCCTCAACGTTGGAGGTACGGGTTGGTAGGAAGTGTTTGCATCATGGGGGTGGATCCCTTATGAATGGCTTAGGACCATACCCTTGGTGATGAGGCAATTTTCACTCAGTTAGTTCACATGAGATCTGCTTGTTTAAGAGTCTGGTGAGATCTACTTGTTTAAGAGTCTAGAACCTCTTCATACTCTCTCTTGCTGCCTGTCTCGCCACATGACACACCTGCTGCCACTATGCATTCTGTCATAAGTAAAAAGCTCCCTGAGGCCTCACTGGAAGCAGATACCGGCACCATGCTTCTCATACAGCCTGCAGAACCATGAGCCAAAATAAACTTTTTTCCCTTATAAATCATCCAACCTTAGGTATTCCTTTAGAGCAATGCAAATGGACTAACTCAGTAGCCTTTAATTAGTGTTGAGAAGTGCATATAAAGACACACAGAACAACTCTATCATCCCAGAAAGTTCCCTGGTTACCCTTCCCAGGCAATGCCCTACCACTACCCTGTCTATATATGGGTAGATCTCTATCACCACAGATTAGTTTTAACTATGCTAGAACATCATATCAGTGGAATGACTCAATATGTAATTTTTGTGTCAAGTTTCTTTCACTCAAAATAATAACTTTTGAAATTAATTCAGGTAGTTGCATGTATCAATAGTTTATATCTTTTTATTGCTTAGTGTTCCACTGAATGAGACACTGCAGGTTATTTATTCACTCTCCTGTTGAAGGATATCTGGGTTGTTTTCAGTTATTGACTGAAAATTATAATTGGGTATTTATGAATAAAGCTGCCGTACCAATCCTTGTAAAAGACTTTGTGTACACATATGTTTTTATTTCTCTTGAATAAATAACTAGCAGCAGGATTACTGAATCTTAAGGCAAAAATTATTGTTGTTGGTGGTTTTTAAATTCTCCACCTGCAGGAATGTTTAATATCTTTTGAGTACAAACCTGTTGTCAGATATATGTGTTGCAATATTTTTCTCGGTCTATTTTGTTGACAGTGCTAACCTTGCATTCCTGGGAAAAGTCAAACTTGATCTTTGTATATTAACTTTTTAATATATTGCTGGATTTCATTTGCTAATATTTTG